AATCTCTTGACTTCAGTGTTTCAAAACATGTCGGAAATAAGCAAGGAGGCTGCAAGCAGTAGGATTTGGGACAGGATATCCTTCAGATTCTGGGGAGTGGGAGCACAAAGTGAGAAAGACTGAAAGCAAAAACTGCAGTTCCTTCTTCCCTCCCACCAGTTAACTTCTCCCCCAAATTGGAGAGCAATTATCCAGATTGCTGTTGAATGTGGAACTGGAGATGTAGAAATAGAAACAGCACCATATTAGGTAGAAAGTGGAATTGAAAGGATTTGGTATATTCAGTCAGAAAACTATATATAGTCCCATGGCGAGGGAGGGACTGAGATGTATGCTTTCTGGAAATGGCAACTCCTGCAGTCTCAGATTCTGTTACTGAGTCAGGACTTAAGATTGTAGTAGTGATTGTAGAGTGTGTATATGTACAATGTTCATTACCAGTGTCAGGTTCCCTTTGACACCATCGTGCTGTGCAGCAGCAAGGATCAGGTGTTGTGTGTGTGTGTTAAAGTGGGGGGGGTGTGGGGAACCAAAGATGAACCTTCATCTGTTCCAAATCAGTTTTCTAGCAAAGTGCTTTCCGCTTCTAATATGAAGTGGTTCACCACCACTTTTGCTGTCACTTTGTTCATAAACACTGTGGCTTTGTACACTCTGCTAGTCCATTCCCTCAACCTTCTGTTTCCAAAGCGAAAGCCTCAGCCTTTCTGGCACTCCTCCTGTATGGGAGCTGCTCCATCTCTTTAATCCTCCAATTGCCCATCTGTATGCATTCTCTAACTCTGGTGCATCATCCAGGGATGTGGCGAACACAACCACATGCACCATCAGGATGCAAATGTAGCAAGGCTTTATACAGTAATAAAAATGGGGAATACTCATTCTTCACTGTTTTCCCCATAGGTCTACCCTCAATACTAAGCCATGGTCCAAGACGTGTTTCAGAAGCAATTTATTTCATAATTCCATTTGTTAGCTGCAACTGCTCTCCAAGGTCGTTGGCTTTAGAATTAAAATGAAGAAGTTGATTTATAATCTCTGAGATTGAGAATAAAGAAAAGCAGCAGAGGAACCAGAACTCTTGAGAATGCATTTGCTTTCCGCTGACTGTTAGTGGTATTTCCAATAGATGCCAGTTGCTTAACTTAGGAGAAAGAAAGCAGTGATTTGGGAATTGGAAATGTCTCTTCTGTTTTCCCTAGAAGAAAGCAATTGCTTACTCTGAATTTGACTTTTTTTATACATAAATTCTGTTGCACATTGATAAATCATCTTTTGAAAAACCCAGGAGTTCTTGCATCCCCAGAAGATTCCTTACAAAAATTCAGATAGTTGCCTTTGTTGGAAATAAGGAGTTTTAAAAGTGCTCTTTTAAGTGGGGGAGAAAAGACGATTGTTAATGGTTCCTAACGTGCACAGATGTGAGCAGCAAGGATCACTGGCAGTCCAAAAGGGAACTTCACTGGATGTGTTCCCTGTTCCCCTTTGAGATGCTCTAAATGTTGCAGTCTCCACTGCTGCTTCCTTAAATATAGAAAATAATGATAGAAACCACACTAGTGAAGTCACCTGTGTTTTCTTCTCGTTATTCATGCTTTACTGTGACATCTCATGCCTCCTTGCTTCCTTCTCAGGCAGTTGTATGTTAGATTAAGCATGCAGAGCAGTAAGTAGCCACCTTTTTGGCCAGCGTGGGGCTACTTCTGATGCTGTCAGTCTAGAGGACAGTCTCCCATCTCTGGAGGTGATTGCTTCCAGCTAGGGCTGAGGTAGGTTTGTAGCTCCAGCACTGCTGTTCCCTCAGCCCTCCCCAGCACTCCACTGAAATACTCACTGTTGGTCCCACGTTAGGTGTGCTTATAACAGTGCTGCCAAAATGCAAGGCTTTTCTTTCAGAAGGACATTAACATCCAGCACACGAGCGCTTCCTGCCTTGTGTTGGCTCGCTGGTGGCCTCTTGCTGCACATGAAGCAGATGCTAACTGCTGCATGTGCTGTGCTCTGGCTGCTTGCTTTGCTGAGTGATGGCCTTTTTTGACAAAAATGATGGTTATTTCCTATTACCCGATTGCGTGTTATTGTTGTACTAATGGCTCAAGCTTGATTTATTTATGTAAATTTGCCTATAGAAACGTGTCACCTGAAAAGCAGGCTGTTGTTTTTCAGAGCTAGCCCCATTGTGTCTTTTGGCAATATGTAAAACTGAGTTCTCCTGTGAATTTTCATAAAGATAAACATGCGCGTAAGGCACAGCTTATATTGGAACAAAAAGATTTGAGACAGTAAGTGACAGGAATACCAGCAAGCTAGTTAAGTGCAAATGAACCTTGCTTAATACTAAACATGTTTGGAAGACTTGTAGGAAAAAGTGTGGGAATGGCTGCTGCTGAGCAAATGGGGCTGTTTGTCCTAATCCTGATTAGTGTGTGTGTGTGGGGGGGAAATGGAGCTCTGCAAATATTAGCAATAATTTTGCATAGTGAATAATCTGCTCCATTAGTTACTTAGGTTGTTGATATTTTTCTTTGCCAGTCACTTACGAAAATCTGATTGTCAGAAAGCTGGGATGCTTTTTCTACCAGCACTGCATGTAGGTTACGGAGGGCAGGATGAGATGCTGTTAGCTTTGCTGTTTTGGCTTTGCCTGCCTTCTTCACAGCCACCAAACACATCTGTGCAGGTGGTGTTTCATTTCTGCATCAGTTTTCTCCCTGCAGTGTCTTTGATGCTGTTTGAAGGTCGCAGGTCTGACAATCTGTTTTGGTGGTTGATGCTCTTTATTATTTTTTTTAATGGTATGCTAACTTTTACAGACATATAGAGATGCTCATTTGTTATGTCCATGGTATATCTTTTAATAAAAAAATTGAACTAATGCTAGAGAAGGAAACCTACCCGAGGTGAGACAGTGTTCTATTCCAGTAACTTGGCTTTTTACCAGACATTGTAATAAATTATTTTTTCTGCAGTAGCAGAAGGCTGAAGGTATAAATTGAGTCCAGGCAGATGAATTGCTGCCATCAGTTTAGTTGTGCTCTACCTGAATCCACAGGGCAGCAAGCAGGAGCCGAGACTGCAGTTCAATTAAGATGGTGGTAGAAGTAAATCCCTTCTTTTGTTAGGTGTGCTTTCGATTATACAATTCTCACATAGAGCAGAGTGGGCTGACAAGACAAGTCTGGAACGGTGCTTTTATCCTGGCTATTTAGAAGGAGGTGAGGGTTGGGGAGGTCTGGGGAGGAGAGAAGCAGCCTGGCTGCTTTACTGCTTGCTTTCTCTCTCCCATTTTATATAAATAGATGCATGCGCATCCACTTTATTCCCTTATTCCCCCAGTCATAAGCACGTTCCTTTTCTTTGCCTTTTGGGACTGTGATTTGGCAGGCTTGGCCTGACTCGCTCTATCTCTCCTGTAGCAATCAAGCAGTGGTGGAGGAACTGTCTCCTGCAGTGCTTTGGGGAATTTTAGGCACCTGAGTTAAAAGGCCGAGTTACAAGCTGCTTCATTGAATTACTGCGTATCGTCAGGCAGCATATCAAAAGTCCTTCGTCTCCATAGTTTAAAAATAACTTGATGATATCTCTCCTCTACAAGGATTTGAAAATTCTGCTGGCATTTGAAGTTCTCTTCCCTTGAAAACAGTGCAGTGCCTTCAACTGCTCAGCTATGGCGAGGGGTAAGAAACGTGAGCTGTGGCAGCTGTGAGTGCTGCCTGAAGAGCCCTCTTCTCTTATAATTGCTTTGTCACTTTCTAACTGTAGAAAGGTACCATAAGTACCCCTGCTCAGGATTTTTCAGACTATACGAGTGTGAAATCCGCTCAGCTTAAACTAGGTGTTCTCTGCTGTCAGTCAGAATGTGCTGTCTGGTTCACAAATGCTTCTTAAGAGATTCTGATAGGGGCAGTGGAGATTGAAATTAATTATTGAATGGCAAGCAGTGGAAGATTGCTCAGGTGGGAGACTTGAGGAGAGCTGGTGACTCGTCATAGCAGTGTAAAGACTGAGGGCAAATGCTGCTTCAGCCTTCTTTCTAGGAGTAACACCAAATTTTAATCTCGCTGACAGTGATGCTCCTGAAACTAGGTGGGCATCTGCACACATCCGTCCTGCTACACCTTGTGCAGCCTGGGCTACGGGCTGGTAAGAAGCTACTTCTAGAAAAGAGATTTACTTCTCTGGCTACTAGATGTTAAATAGGTTTCTTTCAAGCCCTTCCAAACTGTGGAAGTAGCAATGAATTGAGCTGTGTATACCCTGTTGCCTGCCTTTCCCTCAGACGTATGTCATGTACAACCGCAGGCTTTTCTCATTTGCAGCTTAACTTTGTTATAAGGTGACTGCTTTTACTTGCTGTTTTGTTGATATCTATTACAAACTTGCCCTGCAGTTCAAGAAAATAAGTGCCTCTGTTTCCAAGAGCAACCCTAAGTGGAAGTCATAGCATGTGTGTGTTTTACAGTATTGATGATATACATCTCAACCCTCTGTTGTTGCTTAAGGAATTTAGTGGGCCTTTTCCAGAAGTACTGATTTGCTCTGCATTAATACATAGAGTTCACCAAGCTGCTGTACAGAACTGCTGAAGGATGGAGCAGTGCATCCAAAATAAATCAATGGGCAGGCATCCTGCAGCATCTTGTTTGTAGACCGTGCTGCTGAATGTAAAGCAAGTTTCCATCCTGAGCCCTCAGCTGTGAAGTTTGGGTACCTTGTAATGTAGCTGGTGTAGTTGAACTGAAAAACCTTTAGAGCTTCTGAACAGAAGTTCATTTTGTAATACGAAGAACGGATGTGCTTGGAGGGGATGATTAGAAAATGGTGCCTGAGAGCAAGAACTTTGTGGTTGGTGCCACATCTTCTATGTTGTTCTGTGCAGCATATTTGCTAACTGCAGTCTTAAGAAGGATTATTACCTTTTCTGCCATACTGAAATGTACTTACCAGCAATGAATATGTGTCGTGTTGCGTGATTCTCAGTCTATGCTTTTCTTTCCTAGTATTGAGTTTGACCGGGACTGTGACTACTTTGCCATCGCGGGGGTGACAAAGAAGATTAAAGTCTATGAATATGGTACAGTCATTCAGGATGCAGTGGATATTCACTACCCTGAGAATGAAATGACCTGTAATTCCAAAATCAGGTAGGTATTGACTTTGCATTTACATTCAGACTGCCTTTTCCACTAGCTTGCTTATGTGTTGGGTTGTTGATTTTTTTGCTTTCTTTATCTGCCACGAGTAATACTTGACTGGGAGGGGAAGGGGGGAAAGCAAGATTTGGCAGAGAGCTTGCTGTGTATTCTGGCTGGGACGACACGGCACTAAGCACTCCTGCTCAAGTATGCTGGGCCCAAGTATTCAGAGAAAGCAGCTTATGGTAGTGAAGAGCCTCCGTGTTCCATGCAAATGCTGTTGGATATCCACTTGGGTAAAAGGAGAGTAAAACCTGATTTGTGGATCTACAAGCAATGTCAGAGCTTATACAGATAACTTTTGTCCCCAGTTCCTTATAACAGCCACCAATTCATTTGTGCACTTCTATTCATTGGTAAGATCCTCTCCATGCAACAAAAGGTTAATGGTCCTCAGGAAACATGCCTCATTTGCACCTTTTGCCTATGAATTTACATTTGCCTGATGGACCTCATGATGTTGAGCTCTAGGGAAAAGATCTTGCATGATTTTTGTACTTCTGTTGTTACTGTCAGTGTTTATTTTTTAATCCCTATAAGTGACTTGAGCCAAAAGAAGTGTAGCCTATCCCACAACTTCTATCAAAAGAATCCAGCTAACATAACTTAAATTCCAATTCAAAAATTCTACTGAAGTTCAAAAGTAAATAATGGAAGCAATCGTGTCAATACAGCACATTATGCTAATGTAAGTCTTCAGCATCTCATTTGTTTTGATTCACTACTCTATGTTTTGAAAACAGTAAAGCACCTTACAGAAGTGTGAACAACAGATTTGTTTTAGATAAGTCCAGTTCCTACTCTAACAGAAATAGTAATGTTTGCAGGTCTGTAGCAAAAAAAAAAATGGTGGTTTTTGTAGTTAATACATTCCATGAAATAGATCAATTGCTGTTGTGTCATTTATGGTGATTGCTGTGTATGTGTGTGACTGTTCTCTGAAGGAGATATAAATGCAGCTACTCAGGGGCTGGCTTTCAGGACTTTCTGACACGAGCATTGCTGGGTGAATGTGTTCATTGTGGGCTAGGCAGCATACAAATATAATAGGCAGTCTCCCTGTGCAGCTGTGTGTTTGTATGATGCTTGTTTATGTAAATGCACCTGTTTGTTTGGAATGATCCCTTCATGACCAACTATTGGATTTCTTCTTCATTCCCTTACCTGTCTCCTTTCACACAGCATTGATATTTAGATCAGTATCATTCAGCTGTCTCTTTCTACTCTGATTTATCGCCTGTTTGGAGCTGAATATAAACAGTATGAGAAGATTCTGTATTGATAAACCATACTGCTGACAGAGCTTGGGTTTTGCTGGACTTGTGAAATGCTCTGCTTTTTTGACCGAGTCGTAGCAGAGTTCACACTGTTCAGCTTCATTGTTCTGAAGAGAAGAGTAGAATAATAGGAGAACAATCTAGCAGCTGATTAATACTTCTTGCCTTAATTAGAAGGGGGAAAGTAAAGTGAATTTGGTGCCCGAGTCTACTTCCCAACATACTGCTTCACATTTGATAGGAATCTGCCCCGACAGTCCTGCCAGGCATTAGGTAATTGTTTGTTCTCCCTTCCCTGGCAGCTGCTGGTGAGGAGAGCTGCATTAGCACATTCACTGATGTTACTCTTGTCAGCTTTGTGCTCCAGACAAGACACTACTTGCATTCAGCATTTCTTTTCCTTCTCACATCTCATGCATGTATATACATATATATATATGTGACGATGCAAATGTACTGTCCTCTGACACTCTGCCTCAGCAGAGATGGACAGGGTCCTCTTCATTCATTTACCTGCCCTAGTTTCTCTCTTTCCTTCCAAAAAATGCTCTTTTTTTTTTTTTTTTCCATTGGCACCTTCACATTATATCAACCTTCCTTCAGCATGTGGGTGCTTGACAAATAAAGTTAGGCTGTCAGTCAAATGCATCCTTGCTATATCCATTAGCTGTGCTGCCAGTCACTGGTCCTGGGGCTCTCTGTCACAGTGTAAAACAGTATCATAATTTGCTATTCTGAAGTGATGTAGCTTGAGGGAGAAGTTATAGGAAGGAAGACGGTAATCTCATTACAGAATATTGCAGTATGCTGAAATTGTGCCTGCATTACGGTAAAAAAAAAAAAAGCCTTGGCTTAAGGCTGTTTCATCTTAATTTGGGTGGAAATACAGCATCTTCCAAAGGCTTATTGTAGCTTCTCACTAATGTCTTTCTATTCCCAGGGACAAACATATCTCTGCAGCTCTGCATGGGTGGTACCTCTCTTACCTGCTGTCTTGGATGGGTTTTGGGACTCTGTCATGGTGCTGCCATTGAAAAATCCATTTGCTGTCAGGCTGCCTTGTGGGAAGCTTTGTGTCCCAGCTGATTATAGCAGGCCATTTAAAAACAACAACAACAACAAAAAGCCATTGGTATAATGGTGATCTTGCAGACGGCACAGCTCGTAACATCCCTTCCCTCTGTGCACTGCACCAGGGCTGTCTGTCTGCAGGCAGTTTTGCTCTCCAAATCCACATCATGGAAGCTCACCCTAAATCGATCCTGGTTAACCTTGTTCGAGGCGATGATGCTGGGACATAAATCATGAGCTTAACACTGGTGACTCAGCTTTGGGGGAGCAGCGGCTCAGGCGGTCTTCCATCGAGGTGACAGCAGAGGCAAGGCCAAGTTCAGCCTGCTGTCCTGGAGCAGTTGGGGAGGGGAAGACAAAGGAAAATGGGAAGGGAGGAGAAGGGCAGCTGTGGTTGAGGCTGGCATCAGCCCTCCAGCATGGGTGTCCACTGCAAGCTCAGGTCTCACCGAACCGCAATAGATCGTAGGCCTGCTTGGAGCAGAGCCCTGGCACCAGCTGTCTCACAGCCTCTCTTCCTCTTTTCCAACCCCCTCTTTACACCCACCTGCTTCTTTAGTGTGTTCCTTTTTCATCGTCTGCTGAGCTTTTCCTGATCTTTATTTTTTCAAGAATGGGGAAGGAAGTTGGTGTGTCAGTTTTCTGGTAAACGCGCACCGCGTCCCCCGGGAACGACAGAGGCAGAAGCTTCCAGGAAAAACACAAGATGACACATAAATCCTCATAAAAATCCCATTTACAGATTCATAGCTTCAGCACAAGAAACAAATCCTGGCATTGTGCAGGAGCTATAAACAGCACCGTGTGAGCTAATTATGATTTGCTGTGTCCCAGCGATGGCAGGCAGTAATCTGCAGCTCCCTCTGAGCAGGGGAGGTGGGAGAGGACCAGAGTGGGACGAGCAGCAAGCACAGCCCTCTTGTGATTTATCCAACAGGCAGAATGGCTGCTCTGCCATAGGCTGCAGCAGGAAAAAAGAAAAAATAAGGGAGCTAGCGTTCCAGGTGAAAGAAATTGGCTTTAGGCCTCGTTAATCCATAGTAGGTGATGTGCAAGCGTGGCTAGGTAAACACGCCTTTGAAATGCATGTTTAATATTCTGCATGCTCACCACTGTATGTGTTTGCAGCATCTGTACTTCAGTGATAGATGTTACCACAAGCCGCCCAAATCGGCTGCATCTATTTAGTCAGCTGCAGTAAAAGCTTGGTTGTTGGTTTGTGTGTTTTTAGGAGGCTGCTGGTATTTTATTGTTCTCATTTTTCGGTGTCAATAAATCAAATGCACGATTGCTCTAGCCTAATAGTTTGCAGGCGTATTACTGTCAATTTTTAAAGTGTCATTCAGTCCCTACTATTAAGCTTAAATTAAGCAAAAACTCAGTGTGGTATTCTTCAGCTTAGTGGGCTATTTGGAGAAGTCTGATCTTTGTTTATGCTGGAAAACTTCAAGGGTGGTTGTTGGGCGTCTATATTTCTGCTGCAGAGAACAGAAACACCTGCAGCTACCATTAATTCCAGCTTCAAGGTAACTGCCTTATTTTGCAGTGAGATGTTTTTCTTTAAAAGTGTTTCTCTCTTAACCCCATAATGGACTTTCTTTGGATTGATTAGCAAAAAATATATATATATGGTTTTAGTATTTGCTATGATGCTGTAATTCTGTATGCCTCTGAAGTATTTGGTTAGTGCTGTTGCTCACAGGGATGGACCCTAAAGTAACAGATCATTTCTTTAAAGGCATTTCTGCCCTCAAATTACTGGGCATTAGTTTACTCTTGGCGTTAGACTGGATCTGAAACATTTGGCACTCGAAAGCGGGTCAGCCCACAAGTAGTTTGTGCCTTATTAAAAGCTTCAGCTCCATCCAGTTGACACCTGGTAACTTCATTGTGGATTTGAGACTTTTCAGCCATAAAAACATTGGCTCATGAAAGAAACATCAGCGCAGCTGACAGCGCTCGCTGAGCTGCCCACTCGTGTCACCGAACAAAATGAGCATACAGCTTCACAGGGTCAGGGATTTTGTGCGTCCGGACCAGATGCCAAGGTTAGAAGAGTGCTTCAACAGGAGATAATTAGCTTTCAGTGAGACCTTCTCAGCAAATTTCTCCTAGCTAATCTCTTGGAAGGAAAGCAGTTATAAATTACAGCAGAGTAAACCTCTGGTGCAACCGTTGCACTGTTTGTGGTCGAAGGAACGAAGTGAAAACTGAGAAGTACGGCCACTAGTATTTAAAATAAGAGATGACCTTCACAACCCCCTATTAATTATGCATTATCTCTGCCCTAGGTATCTATCTTTTATATCATACATCATAGCCTCCGCGTTTCAATTTTTCCCCTGTATGTGGCTGCAGGCCATCCAGAGGTTGTCTACAGAAGGTCATTCCTTATATACTCCTGGGGTTTTTGTGCTTAACTCACCTGAGGACTGAGTAAGCTGCATTTTTGGCCCATCTCCCCTTTGCCCTTTCCTTTCCCAGTCTCAATCTTGCTCACCCATGCATTTCTGAGTCTCGCTCACTTTGTTATCCATGATAACATCTTACAGGAACCCAAGAAGATAAAAGGCCTTCGAAATTTCAACAAAACTGTGTTGGGCACAGGAAAATGATCAGCCTCTCCCCAGTACCATCTGCAGTACCATCCCAACCCTCTGTAGATCCCAGAGAAGCCACGTGGAGGAGAGAGCTGTAGGTGTGCTCAGAACAACTTGTTCTTCATCTCTTTGCAGCCTTTACTCTATTTTAATACAAAGAACGATTAGGTAAAAAAGTGTCCTTTACCTGGAGAAGGAGCTGCCCTCTCTGTTCCAACCCTGAATTGCGCTCTACGAAAAGTTACTTTTGAGGCTTTAAATCATAAAGAAGCTCAAGTACTACAGTGTCAAGGAGAACGCTCTGATTTCAGACTTTGTAAAGAGAGTTGGGTGGTGATGAGGGGGGAATTAAAGCAGAGAGGTGGAACAAGATTGTCTTTGTCTTATTATGATCCTTTAATCATATTCCTTAAAAATGAAAGATTTATGGTGTGTGTGACTTAAAAGGTGTTAATTGAACCACTTAGTTGCTGCAAATCCCAAAACATTTTTCACCTGTCAGCTCCTGTTTTCCCTCTCAGTCTATCCACAAATGGTTTCCAAGTGAGTGTTAACCCCTTGTTAACACCATCAGGATAAGTGGTGCAGAATGCTTAGCTTGGTCTTTGCTGTGCCAGATCTAATGGACATGCTTTAGGGCACAGAAAACCTTCATTTTTCTCTGTTCATATTGATTGCTGTGATAATCTATTACTTTTCCTTACAAGCCTGACATTCCTTACATCCTTAGGCATTCTTTGGTCTAGTGCATCTCAAACAGCACTGTTAACTGACCTTTATATTTCTCTATCTACTCAGTAGTTCCAAAGTTTCATCATTAGGGATGATGATGATGATTATTATTACTATTATTTACACTATGCAGTTATACAGTTACCCTCTTCATAGTTCATTTCTAACCAGCCAGGCTGGCAGCAGCCCATCTGCCTTTCTCTGCTCCTGCTGATGCTGCCTGTCTGACATGCTCTCAAAGCTGTCTGGATGGAAGAGCGCATTTTCAGAGATTTGGCCCTGTGCTGTATTCTTTCTGCTCTTCTATGATGGCTAAACTTAGATATGTTTTTCTTAAGCTGTCTCCTTGAAGTGCTGGCTTGAATGAAGATAAGATGATGGGAGGAACAGGTTTAAACAGATATGTCTGGTGCAATGCCTGCCCCCTGCCAGTGCTTGGAGACTGTTTCCAGCCCAGGGCCTTGTACTGTAGCTGTAGGGCTATGAGCTGCTGCTGCTTCCATCAGTAGTCACCTGGTGGCTGGACTCCAGACGTCAGCCATGGTTATCTCTGGACCTCTGCAGTCCTTGGAGGGCAGCGCCTGCCAGCTGCATTTGGTCCACAGGGAGCCACTTCATTCTCAGAATGAGGCTTCAGGTAAATCATCGACTCAAGATTTGCCTTTCTGTTGGCACCCAGAGGTGGTAGCATGGACATAATGATGATATCTCCTTAATGATACGTTTGGGGATGGTATCTACAAGGGCAGAAAACACGCTTTCTAACTAATCACAGAATCAAAGGTTGGAAAAGACCTACAAGATCATCCAGTCCAACCATCCACCTATCACCAATGGTTCTCGCTAAACCATATCCCTCAACACAACATCCAAACGTTCCTTGAACACCTCCAGGGAAGGGGGCTCCACCACCTCCCTGGGCAGCCCATTCCAGTGCCTGACCACCCTTTCAGAGAAGTAGTATTTCCTAAT